GTCCAAGCGAGAGCTGCAGGCGAGCTCGAGTCCTCCACAGGCGAGCTCGAGTCCTCCGCAGGCGAACTCGAGCTGTGTTGATGCGGGAGAGCTCGAACCCCAGCTCAGGCGAGCTCGACGTTTCTTCCGCAGGCGAGCTCGAGGCATCTCTCACACAGGCGAGCTTTGAGCACAGTTGTCGATAGCCTGTCGACAGTCTGGCTAGGGTTTCCTTATAAAAAGGAACCATGTGCATGAGAAGGAGGTGAGATTCTCGAGGCGCTTTTTCTCAAAGAGATTGGCGGCGGTTTTGATCATCTTCTCCACAGCGATTTTGATCACGAGTTTTTCAGAGGAAAACTCGTCCATTTAAGGAGAGTTCCTGTAGCTATTTTGAGAGGAGATTTTTCCCGTTGGAATTTCTCACGCCTGAAGAACAGATAGTTTCTGTTGCTTTTCTTTTGGAGAGATCTCAAATTTGAGGCTTGTAATCATCTTTGATATGAAGGAAATTATTTGTGTGGCTCCCGAGGACGTAGGCAAGTTACCGAACCTCGTTAAAACTCGGTGTTCTTTTCTTGCAATTTTAGAATTAGCTGTGATTTCTTTTTCTATTGTCTTAACATAAGATCCAGTAGGACAAATTCCGCACGAGGGTTCATATTTGACGGGTGGTCGAATAGCTTGAAATCCCCAACACTGTTGTGTCTGCAAGCTTTGGCGTTCCTTGACTTATGATCCTCACTTCTTGACTTAGCTGCACCGAAGACCTTCAAGTCCCAGGTTTCTCTGCAGATTTATGCTCCGTGGCACAATCTTTTACGCTTTCACTGCCAAAGATGGTAAAAAAAGTGGAGGAGAGTTGTTCAATGTTTTACCCAGATTTATCACGGTAGGTATAAACTAACGAGTCCTTTCAATGTTTAACTTGTGCAGATAATGCTTGGGAGAAAAGATAAATCCAGATATCTACATAGTGATCACGATGATGAGATTTTTGATTTAGGCATCGATGATGATCGGGAGGCTTACAATTGTGAAAATCCTGCGCCTTGGGTCGAATTCCTTAATGGATGCGCATTCGATTCTCCAGTTTTCTTCATTGGATCTCTCTGCACCAGATTGCTGAACTGCCCGAAAGTGATGATTCTGATTATTCTGTTAGGATTCTCACGTTCGATATCGAAGAACAGACATCTGGGTCAGCAATGTCAACCCCCGGAGTCCTGGGATTTATGTACAAGTTTGAGAGAGGCCGGAGGAAAACTTCGCACCATGATCGCCAGTCACGTTGAGGAGCAATTCGAAGTGTTGATGTTGGAAGGCTGTGAGCACTAAATGGGTCGGAGGATATGGCTCATCTTGTGATACCTTTCAGAGTTCTAGTTCAGGGAAATTCGACTTCTACGAATTCTTTCTAGGGGTTGTAGATGACCATGTCCTCATAGATCGAGCTTTACGAAGGCGAGCTGAGATGGAGCATTAACTGCAATGATCCACACAGCAAAACTTTGCACAAGCTCTTTGATGATTAAGAGATGGGGGGGGGGGGGGAGGAGGGGGGGGGGGGTGTTTAGCTTTGTTAATGAGGAAAGCCTCAATCTCATCGACAACATTAGCAGCCAGAAAGAATATATGCAGGTGAGTTATGAGCCTTATATGGAGCACATTTGTAATATGTGCATGAATTTCTTGTGTTTCCCTTCAGTACTGCAATAAACACACGTTAATCCTTTTTCCTCCTCTTTTTGAGATGTCTGCAACACCCTTTTTTGTTTCTCCCCACTTTCTCCAGTGTGCTGTGTACTATAAATGTATTACATCTTGTACTGCACCTGCTCACTGGCCTATTACCGCTGCAAAACATATTAAAATGGGTTTAAATGCAGATAGGGCACCTTGTAATCGAGAAATTGAACTTACTCGCTGCTTATAGAGAAAAATATTATTACAATGTTCAGGAATAAGTCAATCTGACTGAAGCTCATAATAATAATAATAATAATTTTCACAATAAAACTGTAATAAAACGTCAAGACATGTAGTATATGCTCTTATTTCCAAAATTCCAATAGCATTCTCCACACTATGGCTAAATTAACACCACCTTCACTTTATTCACCAAGAAAAGCAGTAAAACGTGTGTGTGCACGCATATACTAATAGTAAAACGTGTGTGCACGCACACGCGTGCTCCTGCGCGCGACACACACACAAAGACAAATTACATATATATATATATATATATATATATATATAATTATATACTATATATATATTATATATAATATATATATTATAGTAATAGTGAGGGAAACTGGAGTGCCACTGCCAGTTCACGCGAAACGTGCGCTGCAGGGTTTTTTCCTGCAAAAACTAGCGATAAATGTCCCCCAAATATCTTCGTGACTGGCATTGCTCTCTGCTCCTCCAAATGCAAAACCCGTGACCTTCTCTTCTCTCTCCCCCAAAATCTTGTGTCTTGCTCCCCAAAATCCCCAATCCACGCCGCTCATCCTCTTCGTCCTTAAAATCTTCATCGGAGCCGTCAGCATCATCGGAAGCTTCGTCAGCCGCCAGTACCAGTCTCTGCCGAGAATCGAGGCCGCCGTTCCCTAATCCCTCGAAAAAACACCCGATCTCGAACCTTCGAAGGAGGAGGTCGTCAGTCTCTTCGCCGTCATCACTGGAGGCCGTCGAGCTGTCCAAACCCTAGCCACGATTTGAGTCCCAAATCCTCCCCACAGACCTTACCCTCTCCCCTCCTCCTTACAGATCCTTCGACATCACTATCGTCGCCATCACTCCCGAGAACCATCGGACTCGTCGCCATCACTGGAGGCCGTCGAGCTGCTGATCTCGCCGTCACTGGACTTTTGACTCTCAAGTAACTCAGCTCACTCCTTCCCACGACAACTCAGCTGTCCATGTTTTAGTAATAAGGGTTTTAGTTTATGTTTAGTTTTTGCTTCCCTTGCTGGTGAAGGAATTGCCTCATGTTCTCAGAGGATTATCATTAAAATTATTAACAATTCCTCCAAATATGATTGCTCAAAGGATAGATGATTGCATGTGTTCAGATTGGTCTGCAGTTTGCTCTAACTGAGAAAATCATCCTCAATTAGACAATATGTTAGTAGTCTAAGACATAACCTAAATCATACATTTCTTTGACGATTGCTTGACATCCTTGCTGCTTATAGTCTAAAGATTTTTTAACTGGATTGAACTTTTCCTCTTCTCCTTTGTTTTATATTCCAATAAGTTGTTTTGAGCATATATTTTAGAATTGTTTCTAACTTCTATAGAACCAGGGAATTGACGCTAATTGGAATAAACAATATTGTCCAGGTTGAGTCTACTGCGAAGTAATTAAGTTCAGGTGTGACTAACATTGCCAGTATTGGCTATCTGGTTATAAAACTAGTTGGCTCCATTGCATGTGTGGATGAATTATCCCTCTTTCCTTATACAATTTATTCCTAAAAATACATAATTATATCTTTTTTGGTTGTAATTCAATCTTCTTTGTTGTATTAGGTTTGATTATTTTCTGGAATGGAGGAAACAAATTCAACTAGTGTAGAGTTCGGATCAAGTGCTATTGGAAGTGAAATTGCGGACAATACTGTAAATGCTCCTAAACCACTACTAGGAATGAAGTTTAATAGTTATGAAGAAGGTTATAACTATTATAACTCTTATGCATTGTTGATGAGTTTTGGAATAAGAAGGAGACGGTAAATTACTCGCGTAAGACTAGAGAAGTGGTAGACAGAAAATATGTTTGTGATAAGGAGGGCCATAGACCTAAAAGAGACAAGATAGAAAATCCAGTTCGGCGAGAGACCCGAGTGGGATGTAAGGCAATGATGCGAATTAAATTATTGGAGGACAAATCGTGGGAGGTCACGGGGTTTATTGAAGAACATACAAATCATGTGTTGAGTAGTCCAGACAAAGCAAAAATGCACAGAGCACATCAATAATTTCATAAAACTCAAAGATGTAAAAAACTTATTGATAGTCTGCGAGAAGAAGGTATGCCTCCTTCCACTATTTCTCGTGTCATCAATGCAACTAATGGAAGAGAAGGTGAATTAGTGATATCACAACAATGCATTGATCATATCAGAACCCAAAGATTCAACAATATTGGTCATGAATGCATATCTATCATTCGACATTTTCAGAGTATGATAGCGAATGATCCAGAATTTTATTTTGCGATAGAAGTAGACAGTAGTGGACAAATGAGGAGTGTTTTCTGGGCCGATGGAAGATCAAGAGCATCTTATTTGAAATTCAGTGATGTTATTGTGTTTGATGTGACATACAGAACTAATAAGTTCAGTCTTCCATTTGCTCCATTTACTGGTGTAAATCAACATAGGCAGTCCACTTTACTTGGTTGTGCATTATTAGCCGATGAACAGGAAGATACCTTTGTTTGGTTATTTAAAGAATGGCTGAAATGCATGCATGGCATTGAACCAGGTGCTATTATAACAGATCAAGATAGAGCAATGTGTAATGCTATTCACTCAGTGTTTCCAACGACAAGACACCGTTATTGCTATTGGCACATGCAAAAGCATATTATTGATCATTTGCCTACTTTGATATCTTGTTATGGTGAACAGTTTCAAAGGTATTGGGGCTTGTGGTATAATAGTTCTTCAATTGAACAATGTGAAGGATATTGGGTTGAGATGAAAGAGAAGTTTTATATAAATGAAGAAGGTGAGGGATGGTTGCAAACAATTTACAAATGCCGAGATCACTGGGTGCCGTGTTATCTGAAGGACACTTTTTTTGCTAGAATGAGATCAAGCCAAAAGAGTGAAAGTATTAATGCATTTTTTGATGAGTATGTTAACTCACAGACTCAATTACACGAGTTTGTGACACAATATGAAAAAACAGTAACTCATCGTCGCTTAAGTGAAGCCCATGAAGATTTTAAGAGTCTTAACCAGTAACTCATCGTCGCTTAAGTGAAGCCCATGAAGATTTTAAGAGTCTTAACACAAAGCCTGTCATGCTCCTTGGACATCCGAAGATTTTAAGAGTCTTAACACAAAGCCTGTCATGCTCCTTGGACATCCAATTGAGGTCCAAGCTGGAAAAATGTATACACGCAATATGTTTGATGTGTTCCAAACTGAATTCAAAGGATTTGATACAGAGTTTTGTGAAGAATTGAGAAAAGACGGGGACATTGTTGAATACAAGGTCTGTAAGTTTACAGATAGAGGAAAATGGGAGGTGGTCACTTATGAACAATCTAGTCACATGCAGTTCCGTTGCACTTGTGCTTTGTTTGAAACTAATGATGTTGTATGTAGACATATATTATCGCAAATGATGGCTAAGCAAATGTATTCATTACCCGACCATTACATCCTACACCGTTGGACTATACATGCTCGACATCGTAACATTGGGGTTGGCAACATTATATATGGAAGAAACATCACAAGCTGTGAAGAGAAGATTAACTTATTGAAAACTTGGGCTTTAAGAGCAAAATTCAACAATGCGCTCGAGCTTGCATTTGCTTCAGAAGAGAAGATGCAAAATCTAGATGATGTGCTGACAAAATTTATAGAACCACTGCAAGAAGAAGTTGGAGCACATTCCTCAAATCAAGATCAAATGGTGGATACTCCTCAAATTTCTGCACACATCTCACATACAATGGAGCACATTCCTCAGATTACAGTTCGTGATCCTGATAGAGCTGCAAGGACTAAAGGTCGTCCACGTAATGCAACTAGAATCCAATCAGGTTTAGAACAAGCACAAGAAAAGAAAGAAAGGAAGAAACGTATATGTAGCAGATGTGGTGAACTCGGGCATTATAGAACTAGCTGTAAAGTCAACTTGCTAAAGTACAGTTAATATTTTTCCATGAAAGTTCATAACACATAAATTTTGCATTTAGTACAATTATATATTAATTTGTCATGTGAGTTGCAGCTAAACGAAAATTGGTCTGGATTCTTGAGCACCAAATGCATGGATTTTTGGAAGGTAATGGTTAATACATACAAAATAACTTGTACATTGCCATTTTTTAATATAATGTGTTTTTTTAATTTTTTTAATGCAGATGAAGTTCTCAACAGAAACTGGAAATGGAAGCTACTTGTTTTGAGTTTATTTTGTAATGAAGCTACTTGGAAATGTAGACTGCAAATGTACTATTGTTTTGAGTTTATTTTGTAATGAAAGCTACTTGGAAATGTAGACTGGGAATGGGTTTTGAGTTGTCAGGTGTGCCTCAACAGAAACTGGAAATGGAAGCTAAATGAAGTCTGAATGTATCTTGCTGTTACTCCATAATTGGCCAAAAGGAAACACACTCGAACACTGTAATTTTCTACCATATATTACTAGTGAAATAAATTACTAGTGAAATCAACGAATTCATGCAAACAATATATTAGGTAAAGAGAAATTGAGTTGATATTTTGCTTTTAGCAGAATCAAGACAACACCAATGAACTGAGATTTAAGTTGATAGCATGTTACTTTCCATCGGTAACTTAAGAATACAGATTTAAGACTACACCACAATAAATACATTCAGAAAAAATATTAAAAGTTCAACAATATACCATAGAATTGAACTGAGACACATTGTTTCAATATACAATAGGCATGAACTGAGACACATTGAGTCGATTTCCCATTAAAACAACGCATTCATATGACACCTACAGTTGAAATATATCTTTCTTTTTAACTAAATGGTATTTCATTTTGAGCAGAAGCAATGATCTGAAATTCAAAGCAACTTAGCTATCAAAATACCATATCAACTTGCGCATAAGAACAATGAGTTATTTGTCAACATCCCAAATGCAATTACTTAGTGAACATCCCAATCTTCGACACGACGATACTCCCAAGTTCAAGCTCCCAAGTTCAAAACTGAATTGAATTCAGGTACTAGTTCAGGCAAAACAAGAGTACAATCTGAAACTGTAGCCTAAAGATGCTTGCAATTCCAACCTGTTTTTACCCAAAACTCTTAATAAATATGATCATTTCTTCTAAAAAACACCTATATATATAGCAAATTCCATTCATTTTGGAATCTTAATTTCTTCGGTTTGCAAAACATAAGCACTTGAACATACTTAGTATGAGTATGACGACAAGATCACAAGAGTATGAGTACGAGTATTCACCTCAGAAAGTATGACGACAAGATCACAAGAGCTCGAGATCGGCGGCGGCTGACGACGGCTCTGTTGCAGGCGAAGGCGACTGATCTCGAGGTGGCGATGGCGATGACGGCGAAAATCCTGACGACCTCCTCCTTCGAAGGCTCGAGATCGGCGGCGGCTGACGACGGCTCTGTTGCAGGCGAAGGCGACTGATCTCGAGGTGGCCTCCAGTGATGACAGCGAAGAGACTGACGACCTCCTCCTTCGAAGGCTTGAGATCGGGTGTTTTTTTGAGGGATTGGGGAACGGCGGCGTCGATTCTCGGGGTGGCTGACGGCTCCGATGGCTGACGGCTCCGATGAAGATTTTAAGGACGGAGGAGGATGAGCGGCGTGGAATTGGGGATTTTTGGGGAGAAGACACAAATATGGGTATGCTTGGTACAAGCACAAATTTTGTGCTTGGTAGTGAGGTGGTACAATCCCCTCCACTCATTCAAATGGGGGACCACATTCACATAAGTTGAGGAATACATGAGGATATGCAACCATTTGAATGAGTGGAGGTGATTGTGCCACCTCACTACCTAGCATAATTTTTTGTGCTTGGTACCAAGCATACCCATTTTTCTTATATATATATATAAACACACATACAATCAACACAGACAAAAAGGGGAACAGAAGGGAGACGGTTCCAACCTACTTGAAGGATTAAACATACTGGGGGAAGAAAAGTGTGATGATATTTATGGTAAATGAGATGTTCAAAACACACACGTACAAAGTTTCAAAGTCATATGACATCAAGAAAGTAAATATATCTGCTGTAAGAATTGCTTTAAGTTATAAGGGAAATACACAAACCCACAAACATGCGTCTCCTTTGAACGAAAATAAGCCTCTAGTTTCAGCTCTCATACATTTCTCTCTTTTATCATTTCTTGCCTCCCTCATATAGACATGGATCACTCAAGCTGAGACTCTGCTTCAACAAACTCAAAATGCCGCCCACCCTGACGCTGTGGTCTTGGTTGACCTCGACCCAGTTGTAGAAGGCAGGCTTCTCTGCAGATCAATCACAAGTAAATGTCATAACATCAACAAATCCTTTCTTCCAATTTTTTGGGTCAGCGCATGATTCCTATCCTCCACTTGTTTCTTCCGAGAGCTATCTACTCCACTAATTTTTTCCGTCACAGCAAAATTTAATTTATCAAAATTTATAACTCAACTGAAAAATTGATGCTTAATAACTAACCCTGATCAAGCAAACACCTATAGATGCAGGATGATAACTTTTTGATGTCCCTATCTTAGGTATTCGTCACCTATTCATTATTATCTCTAAAATATAAGTAAAGTAACAGATTTCGAGTACAATGCACTTGGACCTAGTCCAAGTGCTGCAATAGCAGAACCAGAACCAGAACCATATAGGGTTTAACTCCCTGAAAAGAAACTTTGTAGTATATAAAGTATACTTCATAATGATTCACTAAAAAATTCAATTAAAGCTGTGAAAAGTTGAATGACCAAATTCCGGATACAACCTTTAGAGAACAGATGGTTGTTTATCTATGGTTGGATCGAAACAGGAAGCATGAATGAAATCTGTGACCACAACAAAAGAGTAACCACAACAAAAAAGTGGGAAATTCTTAAGTCTTAACAGTAACCACAACAAAAGAGTCTGCAAAAAAAAAAATCTAGCTCTCAATATGACAATGTCAATCATCAAAAAATTTCTTATGTAAACGCTCACCCCAAAAAATAATGGTCATTGAGATGGGGGTCCTGATCTCCATGTCAGGTCCACTCTGATAAAAAAAGTAGCGCCAAACCAACTCGTGTCGGTTAGCTTATCAAGTTTGAGTTCTAATCTTTAAATCGTTCCACCTCAATCTGACACAACTACCTCCCTATGTACACTTAGTATATAAGCATGGACGGAGCTAGAAAGGTTTCAAGATAGGGCATGCGGCTTGCCTCAATTATTAAAGTTTTAATATCGTTTTGTCTAATCCTTATGCTAATGTTACATAGCTTTAGTTTTCTTGTCCATTTTCAACTATCTAAAATTTCCATATATGTTAGTAAAAAAATAAAAATGTCAACTAGAAAAGATTTATAATTTCGTTTTATTGATTTACTGATTATTTATTTCCTCTAGTGAAAACTGTAACCACATAGTAATATTTTCATCATTATTTTTTTTACTGTTATCCTAATTGCTCCTTATCCGGTTGAGTTTCTTGCCCATCCTGCTACATAAGAAAACATTAGAATCAAACTTTGTAACTACTATAGATAATAAGAAAGGCCTACCTGAATCTGGGAAAGATCTGATAAAGGATCAACCGGTCGCCTTGCAGGTTCTGTGGAATCCTTGACATCAGCACCATGACCTGACTTCATCCGAGCAATAGCAGGGTCATTAGGTGGAGGCGGAAGAGGAGACCTGATCTTCCCAGTTGTAGCAGGTGGGGGTGAAAGAAGCAGTCCTGGTTTTTTTGCACCAGAGCCTCCGGCAGATAAGCCAGCAGCTGAGAGCATGCCAGTTCCAGCAGTTGGCTTACTTTTCACATTTATCCTGATAGTTTCACCTTCCTAAATAACATTAAAATTCCACCAAATCAAGAGTTAAAACAGCTGGGAAAAAGATTAACCAAGCAGCATATTCAGTGAGTAAGATTTTTTTAATACAAGTACAAATTAGCAGCCAACAGAAGAGGAAGAAACAACCTTGCTATTTGGCACGCAAGATGGGCGCGCAGCCCATCTCGTGTGCCACAAATAGGGGGGGGGCCCACTCTGGCTGTGGGTCACACCACCCTATTGTGGCACGCGAGACGGGCTGCGCGCCCATCTTGCGTGCCAAATGGCATTTTCCAGGAAGAAAAGGATCTGTCAGGTGAAAAAAAGGACAGGTGAGACAATCAGCCTCAATGTGGACTGTACATCACATGCAATCATGCTAACAAGCCGCCAAGGGGTGCAGTAGCATTCTGGATCATAGTTTACGGAGGGAACAAAGAGCCACTAGAAATTATGTAGCAAATATATCTGTCTGCTACTGAAAACTTCCTCCTGATTTTGTCTGTTTTTGCTTTTATATTTTGCCTCCTGGCTTGTATGCTGCTTTAGAGATGAAAAGCAGTTGCTTATAGCAAACATTAACATCTACTTGCTTAATCCAGAACAGGAGCATGGAATATCTGGATATTCACTCAGGTTAGATGGGCTTATAAATAGTATTGCTATGTGGTACGTACTTTTACCGCCCATAAACTAGCCTTCAAAGTTACAAAGGCTGAAAGTCTTAGCTACCTATTTACCTCTAATACTTGGTTGGTTTTTTATATCATGACGATGGCTATTGGCTTGTCATTTAAACGTTGGTACATGATAATGATGCCCTCAACAGAATTGTACTCAATGAATCATAGCTTACTACAAATTTGCTTGAGAACACTTGGATTACGTCTAGCATTGTCGGTCCTTTTATATAATGGTGCTCTAGGACTACACTGTTGAACACTAAATCCTAAATATCCAACTTTTACGCATTAAGAAAGAAGAAACCCACTGTAGTGCCTCCAAACTGGATAAGGAAAGAAATAGTCCTTGCAGCAATTGATACTTTAATACGAAAAGGAAGTTCTATATTACGTCTTAAATTAATGATAACTGAAGTGGTGTAGATCACAAAAAGAAAAAATTTCAAATTGTTTGTATATCCATATGAATGCCACAAGAAAAAGAATCATAAAGTCTATTTGCATGCTTATTACTTAAAAAAAGTATACAAATTGCTACTGAGGTACATAGCATTGCAGAAGGGTTACAACTTACAAGAGCTTAGATTGAGAGGATTGTGTGTGCAGTTCTAATAGGTAGACTACTATTCTCGTATATTGAGCCCTTATATGAGCTTATTTGAAAATTTGACCGACAACCATAGATTATATAGATATGATGATATTGTTCATCCCGTATATATAGTAGGCCAAATACTTCATGTATAGCTACATATACAGTATGTAGGGCAAGCATGAGTTAATGAATCAGTTTTATTTCTTCTTTTTTCTGATTTAACAATTAGAGCAATATGTCCTCTACACTGTCTTTCATAGTTGGGAGCATTTCACTAATCATGCATCTAGAGAGACTTGTCCAAACATACAAGGATGCTATAAGAGCTAATATAAGTAAATGTGGCTGGTATATGCAACAATGATAATACAGTCAGGTCTTTTAAGGTGAGAAACTTAAGCATCTGCAGTTCAGTTATGATCTCTGTTACGCCCTGACGACCAAAATCATAACTATCATATGTCATTAAGATCAGTAGATCACAAAATTCAATCTATCGCAAAAAATTGAAACCATCTGGCTTCCCATTCATCTGGGCAGCAAGTTCAGTCTGGATTTCAACCTCGAGATGAGTTGGCATTAAGTCGGTCCGGTTGCGAAAACGTCCGGAATTACAGGGCCGGTCCCAATACAGCCCAGAACAGACCTGTCTGGTACGGTTCTGAGACGAACCAGTGCACTCGTGCCCCAGAAAAAACTCAGGCCCAAGATTTTATAGACCATCCAACAAAGTTTCATTCAAACTGTTACACTGAATGATCATATGGTGCAAGTATGATGCCACGTGGGTTACACGAACTTATATCACCAACACTGTATGAAGACACCAAGTGATTGTACATTACGAGAAGGTTAAGAATGAAATCACTTATACAGTGAGATATAACTAGCTAATGCTTACCCAAATGAAGAGCACTTGTCATGAAGATAACAGTACCTGCAAATAAACCTTGAAGATTTCCTGCTATATATCTCAAGGTAACTTGATAAATAGACTAGTAATAGAGGGTCCAACATTAAGATGTTCCCCTATCACAAAATTTCCAAATCTGTCAAAAAACCGTACTTTGATGAATATTGACCCACGTAAAAGTTGCCATTGGCGAAAAGTTTCCATACTGAGTGGATGCAAAAGTTCAAGAGATGACTGGCATATTGGGAATACTTGTTAGCATGAGATAATGGGCTTCAAGGTTTCATTTATTTTTTAATATGAACCCACTAAGACCTGACCCCTTAATGAATTGGCTAAAATAGACAGGTTTAAAAGGCTATTTATAAATGTCAAATCATTTCACATCCTAATGAGTCAAGGAAAGAAGATAACCCTTAATATTCTATGCTGAGAATATATTACAAATTCGCAGAATTACTCATAATCTACCAAGTTCCTTGGTCAGATGTTAAGATAATAGTAGGCGCTCCACATCCTAATTAGTTAACTGGCTAGGCCAGTAGGCCCCCATTTCATCTGGGCATAAAATTGAGTACAGACAAGAGAAAGCAGGTTGTGAAGTGTAATTTAGATTGAAGGCATAAAGAACCAACATCATTCTTCTCATCAGCTAGACAGCTAGCCTTCTACTTTTGCATAAACCCCTCTCGCGTTCGACATTGCCTTGCCAACTATATGACACCAAGTACCTGAAGTAAAAGAGCTGCGTAGACACCTAGCTGTCAATGTTAACTCGATCCTTTGCATAAGAGTTGCAATTCATATCAAATACTTGACAGAAAACATTATAAATTGTGATAATGGAGTCTTCACATTCTCAGGAAGAGGTGTAACTGTAAACAAACCAATCTTGATAGCCTAGATATGTGCAAGCTAAAGTGAACATTCTCTGAGCTATTTCAAGTTGAGTGATCTTTGCTCTATATCCAAATTTCAGCCTTGGGTTGGAAATAGACATGAGCTCATCATCAGCATCTCAATATAATTATTGATCTACCTAGCACTTGTAGAATAACCCAGACCAAACAAGGAAAGTTACTTCCTAATAGCTTATTCCACATTCTCCTATATTAATGACAATACCTAGCACTTGTAGAATAACCCAGACCAAACAAGGAAAGTTACTTCCTAATAGCTTATTCCACATTCTCCTATATTAATGACAATACCTAGCACTTGTAGAATAACCCAGACCAAACAAGGAAAGTTACTTCCTAATAGCTTATTCCACATTCTCCTATATTAATGACAATACATGAAACAATACCAACATTCTGGTTGGAAAACAGGTCGGGAGTCATCCCTGTTCCTAGCACAAATCAGCTGACAACCTTAAGCACAACCACTCGCTCTTTGTGCTAGTAGTCTCACCAATAAGCTAAATCGTGTGCCTCCAACTGGTCCATACATATAAGGACTGACCAATATATTCTCGGCAAACACTAAGTCTTGGATATTCAACACAAAAAGCTCTTCCTTCCAAATTAATGAATTATAGAATATCAAATTCTTGTATATCAGAAAAATGAGTGCACATGCATCACATCAAGGAAACTGGAATTTACAGAGAGCAGGTCAGCCATCGAAGCTGATCTTTGGAGACTAAAATATAAGCCCTACATATATAAATTTATCCTCATCCTCATATTTCTCTCAGTTAACACGTGACCGAATACTACTCTGAAGCTAAATACCAAAGCCCTAAGAACTTCAGCTATCGTGCTAAATTCATGAATCATGCTCACCGCTACTAAATTCCAAACATATTACATCTAACCTACAATTCCATCACAAAATCAAAGCTTTAAAGCTCAAAAATCACACCAACTAGAATGTAATCAATATGATCCCTGATGCAAATATTTGAAGTGTGTTTCCAGTCAATCATCAGAACAAGATTATATTTTCTTGGTTTTATGATCGGTTATTATTGATTGTGATACTGGATAATAATGCAACCTATCAGCTCAATACTCATGTGGAGATGCTTAATAAGGCAGAATTTGGAGTATTAGAAGAGTGGTTATGCATGCAGTTATGCTGCCCTCTAATTGGCAGCAGTAATAAAAATGGATAACTGCATATATACCTCGTGTATTATACATCCATTGCAACTTATCACACTTCGTTTTAGATATTAACAAGTAATCATTTGATTAACAAACTTAAAACTCTCCCTCTCCCTCTCCACGATACTGTGATAGATTGCAATCGAACTACAGTATAGGGAGTCTATCAACAATTAATCCTACTAAACAGTATCCAGAAGCAACACAAGTCTAAAGACTAATATACACGTAGAAAATATCTAGACATACACACCTATTCTCTTCCTCTCCTGTTCTATCAATCAGCACACAGTAGAACACTAATATGAGTTCTAGTACCAAAGTCCTTGGAAACTTGAGTAACAATAAAAATTCAATCGCCCTAAAGTGAAATTGCAGCGATAGAACCAGTATAGTAACGAATCATGCTAACCGCTACTTAATTCCAAATCCCATTACATCTAACCTAACAGTCCCATCGCAAGATCAGATCTTTAAGACTTCCAACCAAGCATCCTAAAATAGTAATATGACTGGTCATCGTAAATCCTAATGCGCACATGGGTTAGAAAGTTCTACACAGATCGGCATCAAATTCCGTGGAACAACTTCGGGCTGTCATAATAGTGTTCAGCTGCAAAATCGAACGTGAAACTCAAATCAATAACCACCAAAATCCGAATACCTTGAGGCGATGGTTGACGGCGGGATGAATATCAATCTTCCCACCGTCCTCCCCCTCCTCCCCTCCCTCCCCCTCTCCCTCCCTCCTCACATGCTTCTCATGATCCGACAACGCCACATTGAAATCAAACGCCTCGTTCCTCTCCCCAAACCCTAGCCCTACGAAGGCGTGCTTCCCCGTCCCATCCTCGATCTTCAGCACGAAATACCTCGACGAATCGAGCACGGTCTCCACGGAGCTCTCCCTCTGTCCGGGGAGCACGAAGCAGGCGGCGAAGAGATCGCCGGAGTTGGGATCCTCAAGCCTGATCTCGCAACTCGCCGCACTTGTAACCGCCGCTGCTCGATCGAGGCGGGATCTTGAAGACCGAGACCTCTCGGACCACCAGCAGAGTGTGCTCGAAGGATTCGTCGTCCTGGTCGAATGAAGGCGATGACGACATGGCGTTCGAGATTTGGACTGAGAGAAACCTGGACGGGATTTTGATTCCTTTCTCGTTGGGGAAAAGGTTTATTATAGAGATTGATATCGCTCGACGGTCACCAACATTATTAAATTTTTTATTTTGCCCCTCCAGTCCTATTAACTATAAAATAATTCGATAATTAATAAATTTTGTTTAATTTTTTATAATAAAGCTAGAAAACATTTATATCTGCGAAATGTCTGAGATTAAAATATTACTACAGGTTGAACAGTACACAAAGGGGCCGAAAAATCCACTGTAGCATTTAAGGCATGTTTAGTTTCTAATTTTCACAATGTGCGTAAACGGTGTTTATGAAGGAAAAATCATTATAATGCGAACAATATGGCTAAGGCTGACAGTTTTACTATAAGGGGGTGTTTGGTTCAATTTCTATAAATTATAGGAAATGTTTTCCATTTAAAATATGATTTTCTTGTATTTCTTAAAAAAATTATAGGAAAAGTTTTGAGAAATAAAAAAGTACCAATTTTCTTCTTTTTTGTACTTTGCTTGTTTGGTTCAAAACAAGAAAATAGCTCATAACTTTATAGAAAATAACAAGATTTGGTAGGTTTTTAATTAAATATGGTATGTGTCATATTTCTGGTGATTTCCTCTCATTTTGAGAGGAAATTGCTTTTTGTAAAATTTGGTAGGTTTTGATATTTTATAGAAAATATTTCTGTAAATTTTTTGTTGAACCAAACACAATTTACAGAAATCTCTGAAAAACTTTTAATTACAAATTTGCCATTGTCAGATGTTTTGAGAAAAGTTTTCTCAAAAAGTGTGCAACCAAACAGCCCCTAAGATGAACAATAATTTTAATATGAATCATACTGTTGTAAGAACAATATTTTTATTGTAGCACAAGTAGTAATTTGAAGATTTTGCTTTTAAGTTAAAAACAACATATGACAGGTAATCAATTACATTTTATCTTAATTAATTGGATTTTTTTTACGGTTTTGAATTAAAATATCTAAACCCGCTTCCTTTCTCAGAGTGGAAGGGGGAATTTTCAGCTAATGAACAAAATGAAAAATCTTAAATCACCACATTGGTACTTTTAGTAGGCCCATATTTACATTGTGATATTTTTTTTTCACTTGCAACATTATAATATTAATGTTGACTTTTGCCATCAATTTAGCGGTATTATACATTAGAAAAATAACAAGATTGGTAATTTTTTATTGAGGAAAAAAATAATCAAATTGTTAATTTCGATATTAATACTATAATATAGCTAGTGAAAGGGAAAAAAACCATGTTGTAAACAAGGTTCTCCTAATGTCAATTTGGTATTTAAGGAGTTGTTAATAAAAAATATTTCGTCAACAGCCCAACAGGTCACGACAAAGTCGTGTAGCTCCCCGGGGGGGCGTGATTTGATTCTCATGTGTGCCAAATGTGTAGCAGATGTGGTTGCGGGTGTTGTTTATGTACGCTAAAGACACATTTTTCTTAAAAGAAAACGAAAAATACTTCTTAACATTTTGCGTATTTGAATTTAATGTTGCAAATTTTGAGAGTATATTAGTAAATACGTAGATATTGAGGATAAATTTGCAAATATGATTACGCAGCACCGAGCAGGAGTGGGGAGAATGTGGGCTTAATAGCCAGAGAGAGTATTTTATTTCCCTTTTGTTGTGGATTTTTTTTTAAAGTTTAGGGGGTCGGAAAATGCGGAAAGATTGCGTAAAGCTCGCTCGACAATCGAACCTTACTTGCAAGGGCCCATTCTTTGTGGGCCCCACATAAAGGGTTTGGCAGTGGGCCGATGTCAAACAGCATATCTCACCTTCCGCTCTGCGTTGACTGTACGCGTACAAATACACGCAAGTTTACGCGTATTTCACCTTCTCTAACTGTTTTTACCATTTTACCCCTTTCCTTTTTTACGCGTTGCTGAAGATTAACGCGACCTTGTAAAATAGCGGAGGATGAACGCTACCACCCAAAAAAAAAAAACATATAAATTAAAATTAGGCTCGGCTTCGTCTATAAATACAGCTCTCATCCTCTTTCTTCCCTCTCTATCTCCTTTCAAAAACTCAGCAGATGGATGATGCTCAATCTAGGTTAAATTAGGGTTTCGAATCAGTGTATTGCAGTCTAAGCAAAGATCAAAGTTCATTGAAGGACAACGAATGGTCTGGGGTTTTCTGTGGAATTTTGAAAGAAAAGAGGTATTTCTTTCTCCCTCTTAACTCTCTTCTCTTGTTTAAACTAGGGTTTCGAATTACTAATTGCAGTACCGCTGAATGTCTGGATCATCGGTGGGCGATGGATTAGGTTTTTTTTAAGGACTTTGAAGGAAAATTGGGTTCAGAGAGAGTAATGGCTAAAAGTGTTGGGCAATTGGGTGGTTTTTGGTGAAGTGTTGGACAATTTACCTGAAATTTTCAGTCAACACTGAAATTATGCTGATATTTGTTTTCCTTCTTCTCTTCATCTTTTTCTATTGAGGATTTTGTTCTAGCTGATTGATCAGCATGTGTTTGTTGCAGAAAGGAACAATCTTGGATTGAGGAGGAAGCTAAAGATGCTCCTTCATGCAGTCCTGCACTTCAGCCAATTCCTTCCCCTTTTTTTTTTCATGTCAAGAAATTTTGGGATACTAGTTGCTGAAGGAAGAAGCTAAAGACCTTGCCACCAGAGGCTTGGGAGAAATGTTGCTGATGAAAAATAAAGTTTTTTCCCCTCCTCACGCTAACTTTTGGAGTTAAATTTCTCTACCTGTTAGAATCTCTTAATTAACTGTATTTCATCAATTTTAGGATCATCCTGGGTTTCAAGGTGTCCAATGGAACAAGCTCTATCATGAGGCTGCATTATCCTTAAGTGAAGGATGAACTGGATCCTCAAAATTTCAAGAAGTTTGGGGAGGTAAAATACCAATAAATTGGTTTACTTTCTAACAGAATATGTGTATCTTGCAGTTTGACAATCGTGCTTAAACTTCTTCAATACAAGACCCTTGAAGAAAGGTAAAATAGATAACTTTCAGCGACTGAATCTTTTGTTTGCATAGAAGAGTCATTGTTCGTTCTTCCTGTCCTGAAAATAAATTTCAAAATTTCAGGTTCTCATTGTTTACTCTATCATGTAACATACTGATGTATTTTTGAATTTCATTTGCTTCATTTACTCTATCATATAACATACTGATCTAATTTTGAATTTCATTTGCTTCTTGAGGGTAGATGTAGTAGCTACTAATGCATGCTTAATTGGTTTGTGTACCCTTACATGTTACAGTATAAGTTATGCATATATTGCATAGGTCTATCTACATTACTAGCAAGTTTGTGCCTTGTGACTATCATACATTACTAATGTCGATTATATTTATTCTGCTCTTATATTGCATCTGATTGTTTGTTTGTTTGATGTTCTTAACATGACTATTTAAATGATGACGTTTTGTTTTGTTTTTTCTTTCATCCCATTCCCCAAGTAGGGGAACAGTTCCTCTAAAATTTGATGGTTTTGTGAATCCAACCTGTTATACATCTTGAACAAGGTTATTTACCATATCTTTAGTACCTTTTCCATGGTTAGTGGAATCAAAAGCTAATTAAACTGGATGATCTGATTATCTTTTTCACTTATATTACTAACTGCAGAAACTTTTCAAATCTGAATGAAGCCCAAGGGTATAATGACAGTGGCGGGTCCTACAAACTGACGGACAAGTGCACTCACAACAGTAACGGCTGGCAACACTTGCAAAAGAACAGAAGAACACTGGTAACTGCCATCTACATCATTTTACACCATCTTCTAAATGATACTGGTTATGATTTTTTTGATAATACTTGGGCATGATTGTTTAATAGCTTTTGCTGATTGAGCTTATCAGTAATGCTATATTAATGGATACACTTCTAAAAACTTTTAGATCATATGTGTGTGCGCGAGCGCGTGCGTGTGCACGTATGCGCGTGTGGTGTGTGATTCAGAGATGTTATCAGGTTGAGTATAGTTGTCTTGTTTCCAATTATTACAGGTCCACTCCACTATTGACACACCTGAGAATATTGCTCCTGAGGTTCTATTGAAGAAGGGTGAGGATTCCTATTCAGTACCGGTTAGTGCATATTTATATATTTAAATTCTGGACTAGGTGGTCATTTGACGCTATGATGTATGAAATGTTTGTGGGTTATCCCTCCATTTTATCCGATGAACCATTAGCAATATATAGGAAAGTAACTGTCAACCATAGTTGTCGAATATTGATCTTTTATTTAGCTACTAAGTAAACTATACCTATTAAATAAATTATATTCCCAATACTCACTTTCACATTTAATTTGAAGGTTTTCTCTTTTCATGCACTTTGTTCATGATACAGTACTTTGAGTTACCTTTACAAGATTGTAGCAGATGCATGCCCACTTGACAATTTACACTGAACTTTCTGACATCCTTCGACCAGCTTTAGATATAATTATTTAGATTGAAGTTATCTCAACTAACAACCCTCTAAAAGGTCATTAAAAATAGTAATAAAACTGCTGGAAGAGATTACTAGTTAGTTGAGTAAACTAAAGGGGACAAGAGATGTACGGAGCACATTTTACTACATCACAATAAATCTAGTCATGTTCATTTTATGGGCTTAGTGGTTTATAAATATTTGCTTCAAATTATAGAGGTAATAATCTAGCTTCCTGTGGTACTTAAAATAATATAAGCATAACAGAGCATAAAATGCAACTGTACCTCTAGGTACAATCATGCAGCTACATGAAGAGGTTCTTGCATTTTCCTCAATCTACAACGTTCTGATCAAATAATTTATCATTGACCGCATATTGTTATCATATTTTTCTTTGATGACATCATCCCTACCTATTTTTTATTCTTTTTAACCTCACTTAGGAAGATAGGGGCTTTATGCTGGCGGAAAGTATCATAGAGGTAGATAAGAGAAGAAGGTGACATGAGATTGAAGATGTTGCAATTCATGCAGATCTCCTTGAAAGATTATTATTGTTCTTTTATGCTTACTATAATAAATACACAGACAGATATACCTCGCAGGGAAATACGGAGCACATTGAGGATATTTTGGGTAGACATAAGAGATAATGAAAGAGGACTGTGATTGAGGTAGATGGGGTTGTCTTCACCTAATTTTACCAGCGCAGCATATGCTGAACCTTTTAGACTTTATAATAATGTAACTTTCTACTGTAGTTCAAAATTTAAAAATATAAACAAATCTAACATAAATCATCTTGTTGGGGGTGAGGATGGAAGTCAGAGACACTGGACGAGTTGAAGAGGAACAAGTAGATGTTGGGCTGAGAAATAGCATATAACCATAGGTATGAATCTGAGGAAGACTGAGAGGAGATTATCTTCTCTAAACCTTACGAAGGCATTTCACATCAAAGTTTTTTAACCTCTAAATATTAAGGACTTTCTAGCTGAGGATCTGATGCCGAAGATGGAAAGATGTTATCTCTCAATCTTACCCAGACATTTTATAGTCAAAACATTCAGACCAGTGGCAGTAACTATTGGGTACTTAACTTCCACGTAATACATTTTTCATTTATTTATTATCTTGTTTGGATTTAGTTGGGTCAGGTTGGGTCTGCCTAGTTGCATAAGCATATAACCATAGGTATGAATCTGAGGAAGACTGAGAAAAGATTATCTTCTCTAAACCTTACGAAGGCATTTTACATCAAAGATTTTTAACCTCTAAATATTAAGGACTTTCTAGCTGAGGATCTGATGCGGAAGATGGGAAAACGTTACCTCTCAATCTTACCCAGACATTTTATAGTCAAAATATTCAGACCAGACATTATTGGGTACTTAACTTCCATGTAATACATTATTTATTTATTTATTATCTTGTTAGGGTTTAATTGGGTCAGATTGAAACATTCAGACCAATAACTATCGGGTACTTAACTTCCACGTAATACATTTTTCATTTATTTATTATCTTGTTTGGATTTAGTTGGGTCAGGTTGGGTCTGCCTAGTTGCATAAGCATATAACCATAGGTATGAATCTGAGGAATCTAAGAAAAGATTATATTCTCTAAACCTTAAGAAGGCATTTTACATCAAAGTTTTTTAACCTCTAAATATTAAGGACTTTCTAGCTGAGGATCTGATGCGGAAGATGGAAAAACGTTATCTCTCAATCTTACCCAGACATTTTATAGTCAAAATATTCAGACCAGACACTATTGGGTACTTAAGTTCCATTTAATACGTTATTTATTTACTTATTTTCTTGTTAGGGTTTAATTGGGTCAGATTGGGTCTGTGTAGTTGCATAGCGTCTGGCCAGCCCAGGTGAAAAATTGGTGGGTATGCTAAATTTGTTGGCAGAGATGTAACTCAAGGTTGCTGATAGCGGATAGTGTCGCGTTGCGGCAAGGTAACGTTAAGGCTATTTGGGGTTATTGCGGTAAAATAACGGCTAATAGCTCTTAGTCAAAGAGTGGTCAAATACAAATATATATTTTAATATTCTAAAAAATAAGAAAAATTACAAAAAAATCTAAATATTCTACAAATGCATGTTTGATGCCTAAGCATGAAATAGATGTGTAACAATTGCATAATATTAATAAAGTACTATAATTCTAAAGAATAAAAATGTACCTGGTTATCAAGAAGATTGTTATTTGTCCAATTCCTTCAACTTTTAAGTCTCTAATATAAAAATTCTCAACAGTAGAAAAACATTGATTAGTAACATCATCATTATATTAACTACTATAAATTTGACATAAAAAACAAAACCTTCAAGTATAGATAAATGAGCAAAGTAAGATAATATCATGATAGGTAAATGAGGCGGTTGTGTTGTGTTGCTGGAAATGGAGAGAGGTGGTTGTGTTCCTGCTAGAAATGGAGGCAACCGGAGGTGGTGTTGCTGCTACCGGAGAAGGTGGTTTCAACCTCTAATGGAGGCGGCGAGGGAGGTGGTCGCCGGAAGAGGTAAGAGAGAGACGTGGTGTTGCTACTGGAAAGTGGAGATGGAGTCGACCGGAGGTGAGAGAGAGAGACGATGTTGCTGAAGGCTGCGGGGAGGGAGTGATGCGAACGGGGTTCATCCCCATGATGAATTAATATGGATTTAATCCATGAAGATTTTGTGGTTGACTACATGCATGCATTGATAGATTATCTTTCTCCATGCATTGGGAAAAGGAAGGGCTAGTCTTTGGACTTCCTCATGTAATGAATGTGGTTTACTCAAAAGGCATATCCTCCCTATAAATAGAGGGGAGATGGTGAAGATTAAAAACAAGAAGCAAGAACAAGAACTACATACAATCTGTAATCCTCAAGTGAGTTTGAGAGAAAGTTATAATCCTCAAGTGAGTTTGAGAGAAAGTAAGTGAGTTTGAGAGAAAGTTATAATCCTCAAGTGAGTTTGAGAGAAAGTGATCCTCAAGTTAAGTTATACCAACTTGAGAGAGTTATAATCCTCAAGTGAGTTTGAGAGAAAGTGATCCTCAAGTTAAGTTATACCAACTTGAGAGAAGATTCATTGTAAATTTTTCATTTGATTATAGTAGAAACAGTGAAGAAGGGGCGGATGAGGATGTAGGCTCAATTTGAGCTGAACCTCGGTAAAGCTTGTGTGTGCAATCTCTCTTTGTGTTTTTTTCTCTTCTATTTTTGTTCTCATCTCATCACAAAGACGGGAAAGATCTTGTTGTACTGTTTATTTCCCAACAGTGGTATCAGAGCGAGGTTGCTAATCTTCTTGTGTTGAGATAAAAACTCCCATCGGTGACGTTCGAATGATCAATTTGAATGGCCGCAATTGGATGATATGGAAGGCGAAGATGATGGATCTTCTATATTGCAAGGACCTTTATGCACCAGTTGAAGGTGAATCCTCCAAGGCAGAGTCCATATCGGCAGATGATTGGAAGAAGCTTGATCGGAAAACCATTGGCACCATTCGGCAATGGGTGGATGACACTGTATTCCACCATGTGTCAAATGAGACTTTGGCGAACAGCTTGTGAAAGAAATTTAAAGATCTCTACGAAAGAAAGACCACTGGCAACAAAGCTTTCTTGATTCGGAAGCTTGTCAATCTCAAGTTCAAGGAAGGTGATTCTATATCTGAACATTTGAATGAAATTCAAAGTATTATAAATCAACTTGCAACCATGAAGATGGTGTTGGAAGATGAGCTTTAAGCCCTTCTTTTGCTTAGCCCGTTATCAGATAGTTAGGAGACGCTGGTGGTGTCTCTTAGCAACTCCGCACCCGACGGAGTTGTATCCATGAACCAAGTTACAAGCAGCCTCTTGAATGAAGAAATACGAAGAAAGTCCTCTGGATCATCCCATTCTCATGCTCTTGTTACCGAGAACAGGGGGAGGAGCAAATATCGACAGCCTCAGAATCGAGACAAATCAAGAGGAAAATCAAAGGCTAGAAAGGACATTAGTTGCTATCACTGCGGGAAGAATGGACACATAAAACAGGAATGCCGCAAGCTCAAGCGAGAACAAAAGGAAGGAAAGACCAATGAAAAACAAGAAATGAATGGAAGTGCCGTCGTTGTCAGTGACAATGAAATTGTGCTTTTTTCGGCATGTGAAGACTGTGCAAATCTCACTTGCCAAGACTCGGAATGGGTGATTGATTCTGGTGTCTCCTACCATATTACTGCCCGGAAGGACTACTTCACTTCGCTTCGTGAAGGTAATATTAGAATGGTAAAAATGTGTAACAAAACTCTTCCCAAATTCTTGGTATTGGAAATATTTGTGTTACTATTAACCTTGGAATAAAGATGGTTCTAAAAGATATTAGATTTGTGCCCGATCTTCGTCTCAATCTTCTCTCTACTGGCAAGCTTGATGAAGAAGGATACACGAGTAATTTTGGTAAAGGATGTTAGAAGCTTACCAAATGATCACTTGTACTAGCGAGAGGAAAAAAGTGTTGCACTCTCTATAAGACTCAGTTTCACTTAGAGAATGATGAACTTGGAACAGTGGAAATTTGTGGCACAAGCGGCTTGGCCACATGAGCGAGAAAGAGCTACAAACTCTCGCAAGGCGACAACTACTTCCATCCATGC